TCTCTCTCTCTCTCTCACACACACACACACACACAAAAACAAGTGTGCCAGTGTATATTTCCATGTTCTACAGGTAGATTCATTCGATTTTGTTCATCCATTCAATGGAAGTACCACGAGGCCAGATGTGAGGTTGGAGACTTAGGGGTTCGTTCGACACTCCTCGGGGGCCGAAATCCCCCGACGAAATCGTCGTTCCACTTGTCCTCGGGGGAAAAAAATTAAAAAAAACGTGACAAGGATTCCTCGGGATTTCCTCGGGGATTCCTCAAGCTACAGACAATTTTCATTTTTCCCCAAGGAACCTCCTGTAGGATCCTCGGAGCTCCCCCATGTGGAAGAACTTGGTCTTCGACGGCACCTCAATCGACTTCTTTTGTCGGCGGCGTTTGGTCCATCGGTGGTCCGGGCGACCTGCGCACGGACATGTTGGGTCGCCAACGTTCAAGCGGCCCGATGTCCACGCCAACAGTAACCGTTTGCGGTTCGGTGGCATCCCCAAGGTGCACACCGTGGTGCACCTTGGGGTTGGGCTTCAGTCGAAGCGGGAAACCGCCCAACGGTCGGCAAATGTGAATATTTGAGGCGGCACAGCGCGTCCGCAACACGACGGCTTCCGTTTGTTGCCAAGCGCGTATCGCCGTCTGCAGACATCTTGATGTTATGTTGTCGCTCGTGTTGTCTTCCGTCTAGTGCCGTTGTCGTCGTCCAACTAATGGCTGACGTCTTTCGCAAGCTACCGCTACTGCTTCTCGTTGTCTTTTTGCTGGTCGTTGTCGTAGTGTTTCACGTGTGTTTCCTCGGGAACGCGCCGCGACGTCAACGTAGATGAACTTTGTCGATGAAGCCCATCAGGACGGATACACGACAGGAATCCCCCAGGGGAGGAGGGAGCAGGTAGTGAGTAGGCGTGCCGTTGGAAGTTCTTCTTCGGTTTGTAGGTTGTCGCAGGGGGTCGGCAATTCTGCATTGCTGCCACATTTGCAACCCCTCCCAGACTCATCTGATGAGTAGGAGAGGGAGGGATGGGCATGCACTTTTCCGTTGGGTAGTGGATCTACGCAGGAATGGGCTTGGACGGAGCTGTGCGGTGGCAGTGCCGACGTGCACGAGTAGTCCTTCACTGAACTGCTGCGGCCGGGTCTCGACAGGAAAGAACGACACGGCGGAGTGAACCTCTCTTACGGTTTGTCTACAGGGAGGTGTGGAAGCCAGACACGCACAATGATCGTCAATCCCCATCCCGGCGACGACGGGCAGTTAACCTCTGTGGGCCGATCATTGAAATCCACCGGCGCGCAGCAGTGGCGGGGACGATCGACTTCCATCTCCAGGAGCGCGCAGGGTCGCCCACATTTCATGCAGTCACCGTCTCCGGTGTCTGTTGCGTCCAACCTGGGACGTCGATGTGGCATTATCGCGGAAGGGGGGGGCAACTTGGACGATGTCGGTGACGACCGCGACGGAAGGTTACTGTGGGCGGAGCAACGACGGGAGCTGAGGGAGGGTCGAGAGGAAGCAATTAGGCGGGGGGTGGAGCGTCTGAGGATGGACAGGCAGGCGGAAGAAGTTGAGGAGCCACATGCGGGGCTTCCGTCCGAAGAAGACGCCGACGACAACGAAGGAGAAGGAGGGGACGTGAACGGGGGTTACGCCTCGGCATCGGAGAACAGCCACATGGGTGGGAAGGGCGGCAAGACGCAGGCGAAGAGCGGGAATGGTCGTGGGTGGCCGAAGCAAGCACAAGCAAAGCCGAACGACGGAGACGGCGATGGCGAGGCAGAGAACAAGCGAAACTTTTAGAGTGTCAAACATATCATCGCCCTCATACGGGCGAAACACGATCAGGATGCGCACTTGCAGGGGATGGGCCACGCGTACGGCCGGATGAAGGCGAGGGAGTGGAAATGGAATGACGTCGCTAGAAGATTGAAGAATGTTGGTGTGGAGAGGAAGGCGGAGAAATGCGGGAAGAAGTGGGACAACCTCATGCAGCAATTCAAGAAAGTTCATCATTTTCAATGGTCGGGGAATCGACTTCTTCCAGCTGACCGTGAAGGAGAGGGCGAGCAAGGGCTTCAATTTCAACATGGATTGCGCCGTTTACGACGAGATTGAAGGGTCGACCGGTTTCAAAGAAACCATCAACCCGAAAAACGTTGCAGACACTGGTGCCTCTCGCGGTGTGCGTTTGCCGTCGACGTCGAATGCTGATCCTGAAGCAGTTGGTGATGTCGACGCCAGTGCAGGGGGAGACGATGAGGAGGAGGGATCGACTCGTGGTTCTTCCCAGACGACGGGCAGCCCTGGTGCGTTTGGAAAGAGGAAGAGCACGCAGCAGCAGACGTTCGAGACGATGACCGATTGCATGGAGAAGCACGGTGCATTGATGGCGGCCACGATGGAGAGTGCCAGCAAGCGGCAATGCAACATTCAGCTACGACAATGTGAGGCATTAAAAGCTGAAGTGCAGGTGCAGAAGACGCACTACGCCGCGTCCGATGAAGTCAGCAAACTCATGTGCCATGCGTTGTTGGAAATAGCAAAGGCTATTCGTGAGCGATAGAGTTTGTAGGCATTGTGTTGTGTACAAGTGGCGCTGTGTAATGTAGTACTCGGTTGACAGTTGGTGGCTTCCCGTTGTAGTCGTCTTCGTCGGCAAGGTGTCGTCTTCGTTTCGTGTATGTTTCAAGTGTTGTTTTAGGACGGTTGGGCACATCGGTCGCCCGCCTTTGTGTATGTTTACTCTGTGGTGGTTCAAGACGGGTAATCCCGTCATTTATTTGAATTCAATTTGAATTTGGAAAGTGCAGAATGCACTTACCGTTTGTTTTAAATTGTTGTGCTTCAATCCCTCGAATTGCGAGTGTTTTTATTGTCTCAGATTAATGTCTCTCTCTCTCTCTCTCTCTTTCTCTCTCTCTCTCTCTCTCTCTCTCTCTCTCTCTCTCTCTCTCTCTCTCTCTCTGTTTTTTCGGTCTGGCACACACACAAACAAACGAGCTATGGAAGTTTTTTTTGTTTTGTATAAAATGATTGCAACGAAATGTGCATTTGCAGTTTTTCAGGGCGTCTTGTGTTGTAGTCGGCGTGTGATGTGGTTGGAGAGTGTTGTCCATCCGTGTGTCGTGTCAATCGTGGGAATCGACCTGCATGGCATCTTCAATGATGTTTGGAGAAACTTTGAAAGCAGTCTGAAAAGGCCGTCTTCAATTGGATTGCATGGTTAACGACATGGTTATCGTGCCCTGAACTCCGTCATCCACTTACATTTCATTTTATTGTTCCTTTTTTTTTGGTTTGTTTGATAATCGTGATGGGAGTGAAGTTTTTCAATTTTTTACCTCCCCCATAGTTCAATCGTTCTTGGAAAGTGTCTAGAGGGCGTGCATTCGTAGGGATGTCGTCTTCCGTTGTAGACGTTCTTTTTGCAGTGCCATGGCATTCATGATGGAGACAGGGATGCGCGGGGGTAGACGGGGGTCGGATGGTGGCCCTTGGAGAATTTCAGGGGTCATCTGTGATGGGGGGTGGGGTAAGGGGGGAGGGGGGGAGGGAGGGGTTGTGTTCGGCGGGCGGAGTGGGGGTTCGGCAGAGTGTTTTTTTTTTGGATGGGGGGTGGTGTCTCGCGATGTCATATTTTTTGCTCATTGGTTGTCTCGTCGCCCCATGCAAGTGGGTACGACGGTTGAGTGCAGTCCGCCGTATTGTGGGAAAAACAAACATACCGGCGACGTCGAAACGACAGCGCGCCATCAGTCCTACCCCCCCCACGACCACCATTTTCTAATGAGTACCGCGCAATTGCCCCTCTCCGCAGTCATCCAAAAGCGTGCATGCCATCTTCACGCCGCCTGGTGAAGGACTCGCAGGACATCTTATCGCCATTACCCCCCCTCCCCCGGCCTCTTTTATG